TCCTTTCTCCTGGAGAAATTCTCAGGAATGTGTGCAGGAGGGGTGGGGTCAGGCTCACATTGTTGAGAGCCACTAAGAGTGCAGGGAGCAGATGCTCAGAAGTGGGCTCTTCAGTCTGACAGACCTTAGTCTATTCTGGGTATAATTACACAAGGGATCTCTACAATCTGGTGTGTCACAAGTAACTTGCTACTAATAATATTGAGAATTCAGAAGTTTGTGCTTTTTTTTTTCCCCAAAGATAAAGTAGATTCCAAGTTATACCTGTAGAATGCTAACTCTCACTCACTTGCATCCCAATGCACTTTGAAGTGAAGGTATTGGCTCTTCAGGGTGCCCTGGGAAATGCACATGAACCTCAGCTACTCCCTTGTCTTCCCATGTCCACAAAGTGATTATCACTGTTAGCTGGCATTAAACAAATCACAATTAAAAGAGTGTTGTGCTTTTTAGGGGAAAAAGGATTTTTTGGACTTATGCCAGAATCTGCAATCAATTATGAGAGTATATTGTACAGTTAAACATGATGACGGAAATGCGCTTTTACAGAGGAGGGATTGAGAACTACTCCCCACTGCTGTGATCTAATAGGGTATCCCAGCTCAGCATCAGTTGCAGAATACTTAAACATTTCTTTCTTCCTCTTTGTGTATGTTTCATTTAATCCCAGTAGTGATTAGAGTTAGAGAAACTATCGTAGTAATTCAAAAACACTAAAATCTCTCTGTAGCTTCATAAACTGACTATGACTTTAAAGGGTAAAAGCTTTTTCTGAGTTCCCTTCATTCTAATATTCTTAGGTGCCAGAACTTTTATGACCACATTAAATTTCCAGGAACTGGGTTGAAAGCAAGCCTGCAAAATGCTCCATCAAGAAAGCATTGCATAGTCACGAGCCTGGAAATGGCAGACTGCACAAAAATCATAGATAATAAAACTTTGCCTGAAAGGGATTTTATGTCATTTAGTTTTTTCTTGGTTATATTTTCAGTAATGAGGCTAAGGTGTTTTGGTCTTTTATTTAGCAAAATGAGCTGAAAACGGAAGATATTAATGAAATTCTAATTTTAAACAAGCTAAAATGATACTCTACTCTCCAACTTAACTTGGAGTTATCAATAACTCAGCATGTTTTAGGGAACAATCTAATTAATTTGGCAAACCATGTAACAGCAATGATAGGGATGCATAATACAAAATTATATGGTCTGATTTCTGCCTTTGGGAAAGTTAAACATTAAGAAGGGAAAAGCATGTTCACGTAGTTGAATTTGGAACACTAGTATCTGGCTACATTCTGGCTTTATAACTAATAGTTGAAAATATATTTTTTCTTTTTTAAATTCCGCTGCCTATGAAATGGGAATAACAATCGTTGTAATATCATATCACCTCATAACAATTTTGTAGATGACATGGTAAAAGTTATAGGAAAGCCCTATAGGTGTAGACATTATAATCTAAGATATTTAAACATTCTAAATGAATGATTTTTAACTCTGAATTATATATATATATATATATATATATATATATATATATATATATATATTTAAAAAGCAGGAAAACACACATCAAAATTTCATTTACTATTTTTAGGCCAAAGAGCACATTATAAAATCAAGCTTTAAAGCTGTATAGTACAATTAATTTACTGTTTTTACTATTGTAATTATAACTATATAAAGCTGACCAGCTGAAAAAAAATTTAACTACTATAGTTTCCCTTGTAATAGGCCAGCCATAAATATAACATGAGCAAAAATAAAATAGCAAAATCAGTATCATTGACTTTCTATAAACATTTATTGCCAAGAAAGTGAAAGGCCCACATTTTAACTTTTCCGTATTGATTATTTTCTCCCATTGAATACATCTGAGTTAGTGTTTAGTTATAGTGTGCTACGGCCATGAGCTGGGTGTCATACCTGAAATTAGACTGCATGCAAACTTTGTTCTTCCATTTAGTAGCTTTGTGACCTTGAGTGATTAACTTAGCCTCATTAGATTCAACTTTCTCATGTGTAAAATGAATATAATACAGTGATGGTTCCTGTCCCTTAAAATTGAATCTGATAAACAATGTCTTTAATTAATGTTATATATCCTCATGATATAATCAATACATGTTATATGACATATATGTATAATATGCTATGTAGTTATGTCATATATGATACATTAAATTGCGTAATTATATATATTTTTATACACACACACACACACACACACACACACACACACACCTTTTTACAGCCTAAAGATTTGAGTTGGAAAAATATATTTTACCAACATAAATCACAATTACTTTTAAAATATGAACTAATTGCCATTTATTCATATTCATCAAGACTTTTGAATATCACTGATTATCTGTATTGCTGTTGAACTTTCACATTATTGGCATAATTGTAGCCTAATTTGGCATAATTGGTAAATATACCTGGATGTATGAATCAATATGGAGCACTACCTCCTGAGTAGTAGAAGGGTTGTTGTTCCTACTCTGTAGGAAGGTCTTACAGAACTTAACAGGCCTTGGGAGTTTTTAGATACTGTATGCACTTCAGATTTGTTTTTTAAGGTTGTTGATTTTTTTTTGAGATGGAGTCTCACTCTGTCACCCAGGCTAGAGTGCAGTGGCAAGATCTCAGCTCACTACAACCTCCACCTCCTGGGTTCAAGCGATTCTACTGTCTCAGCCTCTCGAGAAGCTGGGACTACAGATGAGTGTCACCATGCCTGCTAATTTTTTTTTTTTTTTTTTTTTTTTAGTAGAGATGAGATTTGACAATATTGGCCAGGTTGATCTCTAACTCCTGACCTAGTGATCTGCCCACCTCGGCCTCCCAAAGTGCTGGGATTACAGATGTAAGCCAACACCCCCAGTTGATTATTTTATTTTTTGAGATGGAGTATTGCTCTGCTGCCCATGCTGGAGTGCAGCGTCGTGATCTCAACTCGCTGCAACCTCTGCCTCCTGGGTTCAAGCAATTCTCCTGCCTCAGCCTTCCCCAGCTGATTATTTTTTAAGGGAGCCATGGATACACATTAAGAGTGTATCTAAAAGGAAATTCCGGTTTGCCAAAAGCTGACCGGTTTGATTATAAGAGACCAAGAAGTAGTTAATTGCAGAAAAGAAGAAATTCTCCAAGGGAGCTTTTCTCATTGTGCTCTAGTGAGGAGGGTAGAAAGAAATCTAAATTTATATTAGTGCATGATATAATATTTTCTAACCCATATATTTTAAGTTTTGAATTTGTAAAATTGTGTTAATCTAGATAATTTTTAAGACCTATCTTAAAATTTAAAATAATGTGACTCATTCTGAATAAATTACATATTTTGTGGCCATATTTGAAAAGTTTCTTGAGTACACATCAGTTAACATTGAACTTGCATTGAGAAATACAATGTCAAATTATTGATGTACTTTAAAATTCCAGAAGCAATTGGGAAAGCTGTCATTTTTAATAGAGTTTTTCTTTAAATAGCCACTAAGTTCTGACTTTAAATTTTCTAAATTCTGTATATTATAACCAACTATGCATTTTAGCTCAGTATTTTAGCTTTTGTATATTACAATTATGGAAAACTGGTCCAATAGCATTTCTTTGAGCGGAATTTGTTGATTCTCAGTGGGAAGTGGAAGGCTTAATTTCTGGGCAGGTTTTGCTATCAATGGATGTATTGCTGTGGTTAGTGTAGAGTGGGGTCAGGATGGCTCAGAATGGCGCCCAGTTGTCATTGTTCCAGCCAGTGTGGGCAGCAAGGACCATTTTCCTGTCTCAGTCCTGCAAGGCTGATGAGATGGAATCTTTAGTCTGTCTCTGTGGCATGACTTTGTTGGCCAAAGCAAGTGGAAAGCAGAGGCAACTATCCAAATATCTGAGGTAAATGTGTGTTTTTCTGCCCCAAATACTTGAAAAACTACCTCAACCATACTCTTTGATTTGACTGTGATGATTTAGACCTAGATCTTTCTGCCTTTATATGTTTGTCTCTTTTCTGTGTGTGTGTGTGGTGTGATGACGTGTGTATACTTACATGCCTGTCTAACTTGATATGTATATTATGTGGAACTTTTATGTCTATTCTTCCCAGTTACATGATAATGAAATTAATTTAAAAGTCCTTTTTATTTGTTTTGGCCTGGCATACCTTAATAATAATTTCAAACATAAACCCATATTTGCTTATTTAGGAACATGTTGAATATGAGAATTCTTGAGCACAATGTGAACATTTATGCCAGATACCACAGAAGCCTAAAATCTGATTTAGCATCAAGAGTTTAACAAACTTTTAACATGGCAACATGCTGTCCTGTGGTCTTCACTACTGTCCAAGGTCCCTGAGCTAGTCATAAAAACAGAACCCTAAATAATCCAGGAATTAGTGATTAAATCTGTTTCTGATGCATGTCTTTGGCTTTACTTTTTCCTAATACAAAACATATAATTTTTAAAACATTGTTTTAAAATTATATGTTTTGTATTAGCATATGTCAAATAGTGGGAACAGAAAGAGAAAAGAGCAGAAACCGAAATCAATAACTTTTACTATTTAGTAAAACTTAATAAAAGAATTTGTCTGCTCTGGAATAGACTTGATAATCTTCCTGATATAGTGAGTTTTAGAAATTAACTATAGATTTTATTTATCCATACTTTCTGGAGAAAGTTTAGTACAGAAGGCTGGACTGGGGTCCCAAGATTATTGTTTTCCACAATATAGATGGGTAATATAGGGGAGGAACTCTTTCTCTCAGAGTCCAAGTTGTTAAATGAAGGGGTAGAAACGGTCTAGATAACCTATAGGATTAATTCTACATTTAAAATTGTATTTTTAAATTTGAACATAAATGCAGAGATTTCATATAGTCACTGTGAAGAAGTGGGAAGGAGAAAAGATGTAACTAATGCATGATTTGCCAATAATAGGGCCATTAGAATGCTTTTATCATAGAGAAAATGTTTATCATTTTGTATTTCTTAAAAAAAATAATAGAATACTAATTTGTCTGGACCATCATCCCCAAGTAAATGCTTCAGAACTAATTTTGTATGGACAGTGAAGAGTGGAATAGTCTGGATATTAAGTCTGCTAATGTAAACCAGCTGGCAGGAAAATACTCAAGAGCATTTTCCATAGAAGATATCTTTAGGCAACTATTATAGTACTTTAAAATACTGCAATATTATTCAAACTAAAAAATATATTGACAGCTTCCATCAAGGTTTATTTATTAGACTGATCATGTTACCTTAACTTATCCAACAGTTTAAAAGTGGTTTAGTAATCAACCAAATAGCCTTCTTAAGAAAGAATCTGGTAACCACATCATTAGTCTAAGTAACAAAAACCTGCACAGAGTATATCAATAAAGATGACCTCCAACTAATGTCCCTTTTCATTCTGTAACTGTATTTTTGCCTTAGAAATAAAGTGGAAGGCTGCACACACACGCGCGCGCACACACACACACACACACACACACACACACTCTTACATGATGTTTCCATCTAAATACAAGTCCACATAAGATAAAATGAATAAGCTTCTAATGTAATAATGTAAACAACACAAACTTATTTTAAGGAGAAAATGATTTACAGAGTTTTCATATGATTTGATTTAGGTTCAGCTACTCTTTTTCCAAAACATTTTAAAATTTGATACAGCATACATTAGGGTAGAGAATCAGACCAAAAGAAATAGTAAAACTGTTTTCGTTTTCTTTTGTTTGTTTTTGAAGTCAGACTTGAGTGAAGAACCATCATTTAATGTATATAAGATGTGAACAAATATATAGTATATAAGATAACATCTTAATTGCATTTTCTATTTTGGCAATTTCAGTGGCAAACATGTTTTGCTCACTCAGGTGATAGGAAAGTGTTCCTAAAAGCCAGTAGCATTGCCAAAAAATTTATAATACATCAGAAATACCAGAGAAAGTGGTAAGACATGTATAAGTTAAAGCCTAATATTTTTTAATTTGGGGCCTAATTTTATGGTCTATTTTTGAATGTTGTCTAAAAGTGCCCTTATGAATGAGAATTTAGATTTGGCAAGCCACACATACATTTCCAAAATAAATCCTGCTGAATAAATCCTGCAAAACCTTTGCCTCTAAATGACACTCTTCTAGCTGAAGACCTTTAAGTCTTTCAGAAATGTTGTTTGCTAAAGAATATCCATAAAAGGCTGTTCACAAGCATCAGACACTTACTTGATGAAGCAACCCGAAATACACTTTTATGGGACCTAAGAAGTAAAAATTTCATTGCGACAACAGAGGAAATTTGTATCACTACTCTTAATGTGGATTTTTCTACAAGAAGCCTAAAAACATCTGAAATATAATAGCTGATTTTTATTTTAAAATTAAGGCAACATAATTTTTAACTATAAAGGCCTTTTAAATATTAAGTAATGGATAGTGGTTTAAGTTCTAAATTCCTTCAGCCATATTATAAAAATCACTGTCTTAAAGGGGTGATTCTGAAATTACTTCTTTCACCAACAGTGTTATTTCCAATTGATGTTGATATATGTTCTTCATAAGAGAAATGTTAACTTTAACTAAAATCTTCTTTAAAAAATTTAAATGCCATAATAATAAGCATAGCATTTTAATTTCTTGCCACCATGATGAACTAATTTTTGTGTTTTTGGTAGAAATGGAGCTTCATCATGTTGCTCATGCTGGTTTTGAAGCAATTCGCATTCCTTAGTTTCCCAAAGTGCTGGGATTAAAGGTGTGAGCCACCACGCCTGGCCATCCATTTCCATTTCTTACATAGTTTCATATTTTATTATCTAAATTTGTTAGAATCCTGAGGGGGCTAAGTCGAAGACATCTTATTTCAGAGTAGATAATCTGCTTTTGCCAGGATTATGACGAACAAATGTCTATTTATCTTCATCTTCAACTTTATATGTTAGATCTCCTGGACAATATCATTTGAAGAAAGGTTACTCTTGCAAAAATAGTCTCTATGCTGTAGAAAAACTAACAGAAATATTGCCACAGTTAACAGATATAACTCATATAAAAGGCAGCTTTGGAAAAGAAAATTACACGATCAGTACAATCTCATGACTTGGAGTTGTTTGCAGAGCTGGCGGTTAGACACGGTGTGCCACTTTACTGGTCTCTTTTCGTTAAGCATCTTTGGACCCAGTTAGTTGGTAAATAAATTAAAGTGCTATAGCTTTCTATAAGTACACATTTATGCTTTTACAGACCTACAGTCATTCATATCTGATTATTGGGGACATTTTCTATAGATTGTTTTTTTTTTTTTTTTTGGCAACAACCGCTAACTGCTTTCTTCATTTCTAAATCCTATCATATATGATACAGAAAACTCAGCAGGAGTGAGTTTTCTCTCGGTAAAAGCCTCATAAAATCAGATCCAATGCTACATTTTCTATTGACTATATTTACTTTTAGTTTTATATTTAGAGGCATTCAGATTTAACTACTTGACTGCTTACATTCTAAGCTCAATATACAATAAAAAGGCAAGGAATAAACAAAAGCATATTTTTTTTTCTGATACAGATCGCTTTCATCAAGCTTCATGCATATACTCACACTTGCCCATCCACAATTACAAATGCGTGCACACACGCAAAACACATGCACACACACATGTTGATTAGGGCAGCGACACTGTTCTCACTGTGTATTCATTTCATTCAGTGTAATGTTGGCTAAAAGAAATCCACAGTCTTAATTATGTCTAAATATTTATACTTTTGTTTCAGTTTTCTGATAAAGCATAACCATTTATACACAAAACTTGTTTTGTTATAAAAAAATTTCTTAGTGATCCTCACATTAAATTGCTTTCCCCTCTACTGTGTTTACTATCCTTCTCCTTGCACTAACTTCTGCAGCTGCAGTTCAGATTACCAATATCTGAACATGGATTAAAATTAGTCCATCTCAAATATGGCAAGTTCTTATACATGCCTACTGTCTAGTACATAACGTGTAATATTTTTGATAAGCATGTAATTTTGAAGGATTGAGTGCAAATTGAATCTTTTAAAAGCAATTCACAATATAAATGTACTATATTCGATTTAACTACAGGAAATTTTTTTTATACTTTTGCATGAATAATCATCATTTCAATTTATTTTATTAGAGATGTGGAAATAAAAAATAGATTATCTTTTTAATGTCTTGTGGGACATTGCTGGCTATGAAAATCACATGAAAATTATAAATCCTTTTCCCAGGAAAAGGTACAAATACATAGAATTTTATGTACAATTTCTGGAGGTCCATGGATCCCTTAAAGCCTGTTCATAGACTCCAGGTTATGATTTCTTGAACTAGATACAAAAGCATAATTAAATGAATAAATTGACCAATAATATCACTTAAGGCAGGCCATGTCTTATACATTACTCATCATTATTATAAGAAATAAAAACAACTGTTTAATTATATACCTTCTGGTTTGAATATATAGAGCATATTAGAACATCTACTTTATATATGTGTTTTACACAAGTTCTGTAATAGTCAAATATATCTATTTTAATTTCAAATTTCTTTTGATATAAAATGAATGGCTTTTCTATTATTATAAATAAAGTTTGAAGAATGCTTGTGACTCTGCTGACTCTAACAGAGGTAAGCAGTATTTTCATCTGCCTGTAAACTTTTACTAGCATCCTACTATAGCTCAAGGACTTAAAATACTATACCATATTTCTACTGAATGCACTTGCCAGATTCTACCACTTTAAGGCATTTTTCCTGGGACTAAAAGAAAATACATTTTTATTTCTACATAATATCTGCTATAGTTTCTTTTTATTGGCTCTCTATAAAAACACACATAGTGGCAATACTTAATTACCTAAGTATGTGTGGATAATATCATGACTACCCTTGCATTATATCTGTAAAATTCCTCTTCAGTTCAAATATTACAGAGTATTTTATGATAATGCTACGATGAGTTTACTACAATGTAATCATATGAAGGCACTGATGTCCACTCATTGTAATGTAACTTCTATTGTAATATTAATGCTAATTATTTTTATATGTAGGCAATTTCAATTAAATATACACTCAGCTATTTCTGGAAATGGCTTAACAGCTAGTGGTCTGACTAGGAAGAATAGTGAACTAATTCCTCTTCCTAAAAACTCTTGAAAACAATCAGTGTCCCAGACAATAAAATACTTAAATGAAAATACTGAACCTAAATTAACTTTGTTTGACTTAGGATTCTATAGTCTCATATTTATTTGTTAAATTTCAATAAATGGTCTGTGGAATGTATTTCTAAGATTATTTGGATGAAGAAGCTTCAGCTAGACTTCTTATTACTCTATTGGAGAATATATTCAAATGGAGTAGAGGGCTTTTCAGCATTTGCCCAGTGTTGCTTAGGGACTCCATATTAACACTGCTGTAGAGGGAAATACAGGAGCTGCATGAGATTTAGTGAAATTATATTGACCCAGATCTGGAAGGGGTATTAAAATAAACCACAAATCTCTTTTTTTTTTTGCCTATTTCTCTGATAGTGTGAAAAGTGAAGGCAACAATTGATGTTCAATAAATATTTTTAGTAGGTGAAATGTGAAAAATAGAAATTTTACTGACACTGAGACAGAAAGGAAGAGGTATGAAACAATGCAAAGGAACGCTGCCATTCACTAAACACTAATACAAATACATATATGAATTGTACAACTTAGGAGAGGAGATGACTGTGTACAGATTGCTGTAGGATACATGAGAGAAAGCAATATATATTACGAAAATTCAGAAGATAGGAGCTTATACTGGGGACATCAAGAGAAGGATTAATGAATTCAGTACATACTTTAGCTAAGCCTTGAAGGATGGATAAGGTTTGGTCAACAAATGATGAGAAAAAGACATGGAAGGAAGACTGTGAATAAAGCAGCTGACAGAAATTAAAGGGTATTTTTGTGGATTAGTTAGATGGTTGGAGTTGGCCGCATGAAGTGATATTAAAGGTAACAATCTGGGGTCAACACATTGTACTTCTTGGGTGCTAAGCTAAAGGGCAGTGAGTGAAGAGCCAACTATTTATTTTAAACAAGGTATGTTGTGTTCCCAGCCAGCCTCACGACTATGGGAGTGGCCAGTAGCAAAGGGGTTGCATTTTTAATAAATGTGTATTCCGTTACAATCTCAGTTATATTATTCATAAGAACAAAAGCACTAAGTTGGAAACCAGCAACAAACAGAAAATGGTATGTGTATAAATTAACTTTACACTCTAAGGCAAAAGTGATAAATATATAACACTTGAGGTTATAGTAAACAGCATCAATACATATTTTTCCATAGAAATAAAAAAGAAAACAGCACTATACTCACACACCAAAAAGTATTAGCAGGAAATGAGAACTTTTGGTAAGTCTACAAAGCACAAACATTAAGTAGGAGGTATGTAGTGTAACTTTCTAGAAGATATGTAGTTAGTAAAACAAACAAAATCAGCATCGTTTACTACTTGTCTGGCATAGATCATTCTTAGGCATGGGGAGAAGCTTAAGATCCATCCTTAAGCATGGGATTGAGACTCTAAATAGGTAAGAATTTGCACACAAGTTACCAGAGGATTATACATGTTTATGCAAGTCAAGTATCTTTGGTTTTGTAATTTTAAAATGTTGAAACTCTTACCTCTCACGACAAGGTCAGCTGACGCTGAAGAATTGTCCACAATTGTCTGGGCAGTGCATGTGTATCTTCCAGCATGTCTCAGCTGCGCATTTCGAATGAGCAGTTCCCCATTGGAATCCAGCTGTTAGCAAAACAATCATTCCAATCAGTTAATTTTGCACCAATTATATGGCATTTAAGATACAAGAGGTAGATTTTTTTCCCTAACAAACACCACTTAAAGAATGTATTTTAGATATGCTGTTATGTCCTTGCTCTAGGCTTCAGTTTCTCAACCAAAAAATAAAGTGAATAATTTATTAATAAGGTCATTTTCAGCTTTAATATCTTTAACATTCTATTATTTCCACAATCGGAGGACTAACCTGAGGGTTATATTGAGAGAAACCCAAGGGATGAAACTATTTCATTGATATTGCTTAAAGAAAAATACTATGGTCTAATAATCTTAGTGTTAAGTATCAATGAGTACAAACAAATAGTATATGGTTTGGAAGAATTATTAATTTGATTTCACAAAGCTGATTTAATTGACTAGTTTTAATATGTGCCATAGTTCATTTTAGAAAGATACTAAAAGTTTGCAGAAATTGAGAAAATATACAATTTCACTAACATGTACTTGGTGACAAATTATAAGTTCTGGGAGGACAAGGGCTTTTTGTTCAATGCTCTATTCTAGTGCTTCCAGGAGTGTTCAATACTTAATTTTTAAGAGTGTTGAGGAAATTTTGCTTGTGATAATAACACTATTTCAGTGTAATTTCCAAAAATAGCTAATACTTACTTAATGACCACTCTAAGCTGGGTCCTGGGCTGTGCAAGTATATATATATATATATGCACATTTGTGTGTGTGTGTGTGTGTGTATACACATACATATACTTTTATTCAATTCTTTTTCGACAATTGCCCTCTGAGATAGGTCTTGTTATGTCCATTTAATTAACAATAAAAGTGGGACTTAGGGAATCCAAGTAATTTAACTAAGGTAACTAAGGTCACTCAGCTTGTATGGTAGTGGGGGCATGTCAAAGTTCATTTTAATGATCTCCAAGATATTTTCCTGGAATGAAAACTTGGAGAAATCAGTTTTTAAATGGACACACTCAGTTTTCTTGTGAACCAAAAATATTGATTTACTTTTTCAGTCATACGTATCTAGATATATTAAAGGATGAATATATCATATGAACAATACTCTTATATGCGATATAATACTTATATAATACTTTACTAAGGCCTACAAAATTTTAAAATATGAATATTTAATGACTATACATGGACTGAATGTTTTGCTTCACCATAGGTTCTACCAATAGCCTCTTCACATATTATGTTCCCTGCAGGTCTTGGAAGACTTTTGGGTTTGTGACCTTTGCTGGATTAATGAGGTTACAAATAATAGCTGGGCTTATTGGTATGGTTGGTTGAAACAGAATACTAATATCTCCACATAAAGAACTGATCAGTGACCATGCACCTTATTTCTTGTTGTTAGCCCGTCTTAGCACAAAGCCAGAGGTTATAATTTAATGTCGGGTGAGCTCTTCCAGTCTCTTGAGGTATAGATTGGCCAAAAATCAAAACAGTTCCCAAGATTTCTACAAATTCTTGGAATAGCGGAGTTTTTTCCTTCTGTCCTCTTGGTCTGTTTTTTGTTGTTGTGTGTGTGTGTATGTGTGTGTGTGTGTGTGTGTGTGTGTGTGTGTGTGTGTGTGTGTGTCATACCAAGGAGCTCAGACTAGAAATTCAGCACTTTATTTATTTTATAATAAAACCAAATAGCATGGAGTATTGCCTAGTAAAGTAAATTTACTAAACAACTGAAGGCGCTGGAACTGGTTATATATTAAAAAAAAAAAAAAAAAAAGGCAGGCAAAACAACCTTAAAAAGTATCATCCACTGCATAATTCTGTTTTTAAAAGTTTTATTGGCCATATATTTACCGGGAATTTCTCAGTGACCTTCACCCCTCCCAGTGCTCTGCCATGTTGTTGGCAGCCACACCTCCTACCAATCTCTGACTTCTTTCACTCTCTTTTTTCTTCTTTCTCTTGGAAATAAAGAATTCTTATTTTCTCAGGCTAAGTTGTTTGATTGATTGATTTCTGCTTGGATTCTGACAAAAATCTATTCTCTGTAGTTTTTCTATCTTTTCATTTACTTTTCAATCAATTCTAATCTGAGTCCCACTGCTTCTGCTTGTCTTACTTGACTTCTTGATAGTATTTGGCTTTCCTTCCCCAAATACTCATTTTTTTCTAGTCATCTGACTTTCCAGGAACTTGTAGGACATTCTTGGCCCCTCTCTTTCTTCAACTTTCTTATAAACCCATCGTAAATCCTTGAAATTATCCAATTCTTTCCATCAATACTGCCTCTTGTCCAAACTACCCACATCTGTCACCTGAACTCCTACATCTTATTTGATTACTACTTCCACCACTGTTCCACTCTATTCTTTCCTCTATTGGTTAACTAGAATGACTTTTAAAAATGCAACTAGGCTCAACTTACTTATTTCCATAAAAGCAGATAAACTGAAACCTTTAAAATTTCCTTTTCTTGGGACAAAAGCCGTAGCATTATTGTAGCCAGCTTGGTTCCATTCTCTAGAATCTATCTGATGCTCCAGCTCACCTAGTGCACCATCTCACTCACACTTGGCTCTCCAGGAAGAACATTCTGTTTTTAGGACCACAAATACATCTTGTTCTCTTAATCTCTGGTTTGTCACATTGTCTTGTTTTCTGGAATTACGATTCATATTCCTCATCACCTCAATACCTCTTCCCCTTATCACCTTCACCTCCACCCAATACCAGTTCAAATCATTTTCTCCAACAAGCCTTTGGATTATCTGTGGACTAGACAGATCCCCTTTATATATTTTATTATAGTACCATGAACCTTATATCATATTACTTATCTTAAATCGACTTAAACACTTGTTTGATTATGTGATTAAATTTTGGTCTCCCTGGAAGACTATAAGTTTTATGTGAGAATATATGTCAGTTTTATTTTGCATACATCTTGTATCCCTGTGTTGTGTGTGTGTGGGGGTGTGTGTGTGTGTACACACACACACACACATACAGCTGTATGTACTGTCTCAAGTCCAGCACAGTGCCAAAAAAAATTACACACTAAATATACCTTGTTTGAATGAACTTATCAAATTGTCAAGAATTTTGGTATCTGCTCTTAAGATAATATGTATTTATTTCTTTTCAACTACATTCAGAATTACATTAGCAAGTACATATAACCCATGACAGTGACAGCATTTACTAAATGCAAAATGAGCCTTTTCTTGTGTGAACGTGACATACACACGTCTTCAGCCTCCACAGATTACCCCTGCATCTAACTCCTGTGCCCCAGCCACGGTGAATAACATATTTCGCCCTGTGGTCTCACAGCAAACCTTTGTATATACCACTTGCATTGCCCAGAGTGCCCGTCTCCCACTTCCATTACTTGGCTATGAACGTTCATCTCACATTTTAGATACCCCTCCCATTTCTGAAATTGCAAGGCTAGGTTAGGTATTGCCCTTTGTACATTTTCATTGTAACTATTCCTTTCTACTGTAATTGTGTCACTATTGATTTATTTCAATAGACTATAATTCCTGGAGGAAAGAACCAGGCCTTATTATTACATACAAAAGTACTTAATATAATACCTGACATACAAGAAAATTCAACAAATATTGGATACATTAAAATAATCTAAAGTATTTTTATTAAATAGACATTCTTTAAGTATTTTCAAATATTTTTTCAGGTAAGATCATGATAAGGTAAAATAACTGAGTTGAGAAAAACTGTTGCTATCCATGTCTAGGAGATAAACTACCATGAATGATATGTTTCAAATATCTATACACCAATTTCATAAGAAAATAGAAAGGTTATTAAGAAGATGTGAGATTTATAGAGAAAACATTATTGCTAACATACAAGAAAACTGAACTTCTAACTTTTCCCACTCATATGTGTAGTAAAGAATTTGGCCTTGCCCAAAGAGAGGTCCTGCCATTGCTCTCAGCTTCTAGAAGATGATCTCTAATGTCTTTCTTTGCCTGGGGGGGTCCTTCAGTCATACTGGGTCATCCAATCATATGATTTAGGGTAGGGGTTAGCCACACCTGTTTAGTCTTAAAACTGGGGGTGGTCACACAGTAGGAGTTGGGTCATACTGGAAAATCCAACAATGTGATTTAGGGCAACAGTTGTAGAGTCTTAGAGAAGAGCCTGGTTGTGCTGCAAATAGGACATTTTGACTTAGAGTAGGGGCTTTGAGTCATGTGGTATCACTCAACCTAGAGACTGAGATTAACCATGTGAGCAATGAGTCCATCAATCATGTCTACCTGATGAAGTCCCCCAGAAACTCTGGACAGAAATGCTTGGTAAGCTTTACTGGTTGGCAACACTTAGAGCATGCTATGACACATCAGAACAGTAAGAGTAATGCATTTTAACCACTCGGGGAGAAGACAGTGGAAGCTCTGTGTTTGGTACTTCTCAACTCTGCTCTGCGTGCTTTTTCCTTTAGCTGATTTTAATTTGTATTCTTCCTGTAAGAAGCTGTACCCATGTGCATAATAGCTGTAAGTGGGTTCTGTGACTCACTTCTAGTGAAGTGTGGAAACAGAGGATGGTTTTTGCAACCCCTTAAACTTGCATTTGGTGTCAGAAGTGAGGGTGGTTTTGGGGACTGTGCCCAACTTTGCAGCTGGCCTAACTTCTTATACCATACTAAATAGAATTCATCTAAGAAAGGAGGTAAAGGATGTTATTTTATTATTTCTAGTTATATTTAAAAATATTTTTGAGATAAGCAGAGAATAAGGTTCTGTATATAGGTAAAGTAAATATGAGTTTTCCTTGAACTATCATAAAAGTTAATTGACATATGTCTCAGTATTTTTTTAGTGGGAAAAATAAAATATAAAGTAATTATGGTAAAATAATTTAAACATTTTCTATTTGTTAAATAGACTGTTTTGAAGTATCTTGACATCCTTAATAGAAATGAAATTGATATTAAATATTCAATAATATAAATGCATTAAGTAAAAATATTTCAATGTTTCCATGCAAGT